AGCAGCACACCGTGTATTGCGCGCCCCAGAGACAGCGCGGTTCCAACAGCGGACGAGGCCACAAGCGTTACACAGCCGAAAGGACAAGGGCGACGCAGGGCGCGAGGCGCTCCCCGGGCGGGGGGCACGCAGGGACGGCTCCGTCCCGCCCCGGCAACGGCGATGGAGGACAGGAGACTTCCATCCGCGCTCCGGCCCATCGCTCCATCCCGGCGTCGATCCGGAGGTCACGGCTCCTCCCGTGAGAAGCGGAGTCCCCTCCCCGCGCTGGAGAAGAGCCGCTGGGGTGTTCGAAAAGACACGAGGGCCCGTCGCCCGTCACTCGGAAACACGCGCACACGAAAAACAAACCCATTACAAAGCAGAGGTCGATATATAAACGCCACCCCCCACCTCGCTGAACAGCTATCCCCAGGAAAAGGAAGAAAAAAAAAAAAAATACACCACCCAACACTTAAATACAGCTTCATAAATATTAAGTCATGAAAAAAATTGAGACTTGGTTTTCTTCCCTCCTGGTAAAAAAAAAAAAAGAACCAAAACCAAGTATGGGTTAGGAGGGAAGGCACGGAAGGATGTCTAATATAGACAGTTACTTCGGCTATAAAGTGGAACCTGCTGGAGGGAGCCGGGGACGGGGAGGGGGACGGGAAGATCCAGCAGAGACGGCGCGGGCGGCCCTGAGCCGATCTTCCTCCCGCTCACGGGTCTCGTCGCGACGTCAATCGGCGTGGAGAGGTTTGAGAGCCCTTGAGAACCAAACAGTCTGTGAACGGCGACCGTCCTCGCGCTCCACCAGCCCCCTGGGGATCCGGATACCCGGAGTAAGGCCATTCCGCTTGGTCTTTCGAAAAAAAATAAGAGAATTTAAAAAAAGAAAAAAATGCTTTTTCTTAAAAAACATCAGCTTGTGTTGCATCCACTTTCAAAGCCTGAAGTGGAAGGTGGGAAGAGACTTGGCTCTGAAACGTCAACTAAAAACAACCCCTTTCTACACCACTACATTCTTTGTTTCCTTAGCAATCATTGCTAATTAGTATAGAAACCCCTTGCACTACCGCAAGGGCAAACTTTAAATTACTTTTTTTATATATAAAAAAGAACGGAGGATTCTAACCCACCGGGAACACGGGGAAGAGTCACTTCATTTCTTTAAAAAAAGCATTTAGTGAAAATAAAGATCAGTCCAACATCTGCTCTGAGATCTCTAGAGAAGCGTCTGCAGCCGGCGTGGGCCAGGCGTCACCGCGGGGAAACGGCAGCAGAACAATCCCTCCTTTCAGCTTATTATTTTGTGTAAAACCGGACTCAAAACGCCCCGTACTTTTGAGGAGGCAGAAGTCCGGCCCAACACCAGGCAGCCACTTCGGTAGGAATTTCGGTTTCAAGCCGCCGGGAGCACCGGGGCCTGTACGGTAGCTGCGGTCGACAAGGTATCAAAAGGGAGCCGAGCTATAAAAACGGGAAGGGTTTTGCAGGTGGTGCCCGCAGCAGGACGGAGGGCAGGGGAAGGGAACGGAGCAGGCTGGGTTTGGTCCGTTTGCTTAAGAAATACTTTAAAAAAAAAAAGCGTGCCCCTTACAAAGATCTCCCTTCGCCTGCGACTCCCTGCTTGGCGGGGAAGGGATGAGAGGGCTTAGTTTAAAAACCGGGGGACAAAGCAATCCAAAACCTCCCTGACGTCTTAAAAGCTTCGCACACTCAAAGTCCTCCGAGCAACACGGCGCGGCACCAGCTCTCCTCGCCGTGGTCTCGGGGCAATGCAAGACTGAAAACGGAGGCGGCGCCGGCAGCCAGGAGCGGCTGGCAGGGGAGAGGAGCTCGTCCACGGGCAGTGCGGCTTCTGCTCCCCCTTTTGCCTCTCACATGAGATACTTTATGGTGGAACACTGAAAAAAAAAAAAAACAACCCTATTTATTAAAAAAAAAAAAAGCATTACTATATTGCAGGACTAAAAAGAAGTGATATGAGTGAATTCAGAGAAACACTTAAATTAAAAACTTGTTTAAAATACAAAATAAACCCACATTGCTCTGTCGCAAACTGCCCCAACGAGGCTCTAATGCCCGTTTCCCCCCCCGTAACTCCGAAGAGTCGCCCGTTCTCGCAAGGTCTGTGGTGTCGGCATCATAAGCAGCAACTCCCTGAAAGTCAGATCCCTTTTCCAGAGGGCTTCAGCCCACACGGGGAGTTCCTCCTCCTCCTCCTCCTAACAGCCGGCTTCAAAGAAAGGAGGACAGCGGGGACGCAGCAGTGGGCTCTGCTGTAAGGAGACTTCCAGGTGTCCGAGGCTCAGCTGCGCTGGCTCGGTCGTTGTTAACACTATCCCACTAAGTGTAGCCCAGCCTTCCAGCTTTTAGGTTTCCGTCCAGATAAGATTTCTTAAAAAACAAAATATAATAAATCAGCAACAGGGGCTGAACGTTTGTCAGACTCCACAGACCACGCAGAGCACAGAACAATCCGCTTCCATCGCAGCGGTCTCGGTGTTGCTTCACTGTGAAGAGAAAAGAGGGGGAGATGCTGGGGAGGGGTCTGCCTTCCCCCGAGGGCTCCTGCCGGGTCCTCCCCTAAGCCTTCTCCGCCCTGGGAGCGGCAGAGCGGAGCGGGCTGCTGGGTTCCGTCGCGCTCAGGCTTACCCCAGCCACCATCCTACATTAAAACAGGAGGGTCGGTGAGGATTTACCATCTGCCGCAGGGACGGCAAGATGAGCCTGGTCAGCTTCACTCTGTTTTCTCTCTGCCATCAGACCCGCTCTGGGCCCTCAGGAAAGAGGAATGTCTCTGCTTCACCTCCTGCTTATCGAATTTAAGGCCACTGGGGCAGCAGATTATCAGTACCAGCGTGAACGGTGCCTAGCACAAGGCAGGCTGAGCCTTCGCATACCAGAGGGGGACGAAGAACATCTGCTCCTACTCTGGTCGACTCGCCCATCCCGCTCAGCATCCGTGTTCCCAGCCCAACTAGGGACCACGTAACCCCCGCAATTCTCCACCCACCTCCAGAGCTGCTCTGCAACAGGGAAGTACTCACAAAGCTGATCTCCGTCTCTTGCAGGTCTTCGAGCTGCTCTCTCAGCTCTGCTGAGCGCTCAGGTATGGAAGGCCCTGGGGAGCCGCTGGGGAAACAGAAGGGGGAGACCTGTAAAGCAGTTTTTAAAAAGTGAGCTGTCAATAAGTCACGTCTCCAGGGCTGCCCTGCCGTACCCAGCCAACGGAAGGTCCCAGCAGGGCACAAAGGTGTTTGTTAGGCAGGTTGAACGTGGAGGCACAGGGAAAGCCATCCCTGCTGGGGCAGGCACCTAAACCACCACCTAGAAAATCACCCCCCCAGTCGATGGGACTTCAGACGTTAGAAAGGAGGTTCTCTTGTCCAGCCAGGCAGCAGCACCTCTTTACAGAAGTCTTCAAGCACCTCATCAACATAGAAATGGTCCTGGGTGAAAACAGTCCAGGGACAAAGAAAGCACAAAGCTCCCGAGCTCAGGGAGTCTCAGCCTTTCCAGAGGCGCCCTGGTTTGAAAAAGCCCCGGCAAACCTTTTACAAACCTTTCACGCTCTGAATGCGAGCTATAGCCTGACAGCAGGATATACAACACGGGCACGCTGAGCGCCTGGCAGGATACACCACCAAGGAGAAAAGGTGGGGCACAGAAGACTTGCTTTACCCTAATACCCCATTATTTTCCCATTTCTTTCAGGATCCCACAGCTAAAAGCCCGTAACCTGCTGGCTGAGGAACTCCAATTCCCAGCTTGGGCCTTGCCCCACTTCCTACCGAGGATACGGTGACCACAGCTTCTCTCCTTGCCCCGAGCGAGAGGTCAAGCCTGCGAGCGCGTACCTCGCCTAGGCCAAGCAGTCAGGGCTCTCCGGCGCGCTGGCGACTTAACAGAGGACTGCCTACGGCCAGCACGACCTGCTTGGCCCCCCTGCAGCTAACACCCAGGGCTTGCCACAGCCTGACCGCAGTGGATGCCTTAATGAGCAGGTATTCGACTGCCTGTTGCCCAAGCACAGGAAGCATTGAGCTGTTCAGTCATCAGGCTACACGTCACCCCACGCAAACACCCTTGGATCAACACCCAGATGGAGACGCAGGGACCCTCACCGGGAAGGCACAGCTCCCTCTCTGCCTGATCATGCCTCACCTACGTGCCCGGTTACTCTGAGCTGCTCTGGCTTCCTCCTCTGCTGAGCTCTCTAACCGGTGGCTCACTGCTTCTGACCTACGCAGAAATTAAAGGCGAGGATGCTCAGTGGTGGTTACAGGGCATACAGCCCTTGAGGGTCGTCTTAATTAGCAGTAAGCAGCTCTGTCCTAACACAGGGCTGCAGGATGAATCACAGAACCATTTAGGTTGGAAAAGACCCTTACGATCATCGAGTCCAACCATTCACCTAACACTACCAAGTCCAGCACTAAATCACAGTGCTTGAGAGGAAAAGAAGCGCCCCTCTCAAACAGAGGGGATCAGCCTCCAGAACCCCTTGCCGCAGGATGCCGGTCAGCAGCTTCCATTCCCAGCAGCACACGCTGGCATTTAGGTGTCCCCAACACCAGCACGCTTCTGCCAGAGGTTAATGACAGAGCTGGGCTGAGGACCAGGGGAGCCCCAGCCTCGCGAGGGCGCCCGCACGCTATCGCTTACGCCACCGCAGAGAGCACGTCTTCGACGCACAGGTTGCACACCGCAAACAGAGGCACGTGGCAACATTTCTGAGGCAGGCGCGAGGCCGTGCTGCAAAAGAGAGACCGAGGTTGGCGTAGCACGGACGAGAGGGCTGAGCTCGTGTTCCTACGGCAGATCTGGAGCGGGACAGACCCTGCCTTCCCCCTGTGCCCACCCCTAGGAAGGGCAGAAGCTCTAGCTGGAGAGATTTTGGGTGAGATCACTGCCCTTCGTACAGGACTAGAGATTTAACACCCCACTAGACCAGCTGATTCTGCAGAGAGGGGGAAAAAAAAACACAACCTTTTAAATCCATTCAACAAGTTGTATCATTATATATCAATAATCCACAAATCGCTTTCATCCTTTTCAGGGTTTGCAGAGCTTTACGGATCTCCCAAGGTCACAAAAGTGGATTTACGCCTCTGCCAACAGGTCTGATGTAGGGAGCTCAGATCCCAAGGCCCCGCACGGGAGAAAACACTGGTCTGTTCTCCCTCCTGGATTTCATTACCACCCTCTGGCGCTGGCACATGGTTTTACGGGATGTTGGCAAAGGGTAACCACACGCTCGAGCGCCCGCAGGGTACGGTAAGCGGTGTGCTCTGCTCCAGAGGTACCTGGGGCAAGCGCAGACCAGGCTTTGCACCTGGGGAACCACTTGGGACTCAAGGCAATTGTGCAGCAGGTTTGATCTTACCTACCAGAACCCGTGTTTTTAACAAGAAGGGTGCTCAGTGCCACGCGGGGAGGGGGGCACCATCCCAAGAGGTTTTACCATCGAGCCTCACAGCAGACAGACACGTTAAGCACTGCTGAGCCTTGGCACAGGGACACACCACGTTACAGCACTGCATTTTAGGAGCGCACTGACTGTACAGAACCTCTGCAACCGCTGGCCAGCAACAAGCGTGAGGCCAAACCCCAGGGCCCGTCTCACTGAGCACACCCTCCAGACAGGAGAAGGTTTCGGGCAGAGTCTGGTTCCCCCCCTCACCTAGGCAGGAAGGTGCCAGGAGCTGTTCTAGGCAAATCCTTTGCTGAGCTGTCAGCTTTATGCACTTGTACGCCCACTGACCTACGTAGAGATTGAAGGAGAGAGACCCGCAGTTAAGTAAATAAAAAGAACACCTCAGGCATGCTGACGTATGGAAAGGAGCAGCTCTGGTTTAGGATCTCTACCAAGAGGTTTCCGTGTTTTACAGAGGGAGTGAGAGGTGTTAATTACAATCGCATCTCGTCCTCCTGCAGCTCAGGAGAGAGCGGACACTTTGTGACACTGTGCAGGCAGTGGGTCAGGAATGGGGAAAATGGTTTCCGATCGCTTCCAGGAAGAGAAGTTAACACCTCGGAACAACTTCTACGAAAGGGATTGTTCTCGGACCACAGCTCCTCCTCGTCCCTGCTAGCCTTACCACTTCAGCAAGAAATGAAACATTCAAAGGCAGCCACCAGCTCCCTCAGGGCTCTCCATGCACTTCAGCTTCGAGACATTTTGAACCGCACTTGCGCATAACCCTGCAGCCTCCTTTCCCGAGGAGGTGTAGGAGCTCAATGCCAACCCAATCAGTAAGTTGCAAGAGAGCCCAACCCTCTGAAAAGAGCAGCAGGAAGGTCATCGCCAGCATCACCCATCGCCACGTTAATGCTCTTCACGTACATTTTAGCAGCGACAGTTTCACCAACTCACTTCAGCACAATTACCTCAACTCAGAACAAAGCCATTGAATACAGAACACACAAGGAACTGAAAGCCACCGGACTTCCACACAGCCCAAGCAGAAGATGCAAGATCACGTCACCTGTAACGGACTGCACGCAGCACGGCGATGCTCCCCCCTTGCACATGCTCGAACCGACAGCACTGAACTTGCTCAACAACACAGGGATCACTCAAACGGGTATTTCTGCAAGCATGCCAAAATCCAAAACATCCCATAAAGCGGCACAGAACCCTCCCACAGCTCACAAACCAGGAGCCACCGGCCTGCCACGTGCCGAAACGCAACGAGCCTCACCTGTTTGCGGGTGAGTTGAGGCCTCCGCTGCCCAAGGAAGAAGTGGACAGGGTCGTTGCGATGGAATCGCTGTTAGCTTCGTCTACTGGCAGGGTCCTGGGCAGGAGATCTGGGCGACCAAGGTGGGAACCTGAGTTGAAGCACAGACTGTTCCATCACCAGCACAAGCAGGATCGTGTGGCATGAGCTCCCACACCAGCCATGGGTCGGGATCCGTGACGGATCCCACCCATGACATCTACGACACCCGAGCGCTGAAGAACCAGCCCTGCACGCAGCGCTCTGCTCCAAGCCCAAGCCTCCACACGACTGCCTAGCCCAGCTTCTCCCCGACACAAACCCCACGGACATGAGCTGTTGGGAAGAGACCAGGCACCGGGGGGCCACGCTGGATGCCTGGACGAGGCTAAAAGATCCCACAAAGAAGCAATTCCCCACCTCCACAACCTGGTCTTATCCTGCTTGTGAGTAAAGACTTGCTTTTAACTGAAACATCATCAGGTCTCTCATCCTGCCCTGCATTTGCGGCAACAGAATACTTGGAAACAGCCAAGCCTTTGAAGGGCTCGCTGCTCCTCCAGGCTTTCTCACGTGTTGTTAAAGGCCACGTGGTGCGTGTGAATTTTTGACCCCGTCTGGTTTCTTGCACCCACAACCCCAGAAAACAGGCCCTCCCCTAGCAAGACCACAAAACATGGAGGTGTCTTGCACAGCTCAGGAGGCAGCAAGCTTCAACCAGACAAACACAAGCTGAAAAGTAACTTCTCTAACTTTTTTTTTTTAAGCCCAGGAACCAACCTTGCTCTATATCTGCCTCTGTCGTTACTTGTGCTTTTGTCTCGCACGACATGTGTGACTGGGAAGGCACTCCTCCTTGACAGCTCCGCCGAGGAACTGCTGTGCCAGACCGGCTCTTCTTAGAAGGGGATGGCTTTACTTAAGGACAAAAAAAAAAAAAAAAAAACAACACACACAACAGAAAGCATTTTTTTAACACGTTCAGGAAGGAGTAAAAGACCCGATGCAGCAACTTTCCAGTGACAGAGTCTGGCATAAGAGCTGTGCCCTGAAGGAACAAGCTGATGGATGAAACAGCTCCTATAAGGCCACATCTGTGAGGCAAGAACAATCTAGGAGGAAGGAAGGGGTGACACAACACAACAGACTTCCTAAAGCTCTTGCATGCTGTCATCCACCTTCCCAAACCACGGCTGCTGAGCAGGGAGAAGCCAGAAACCACGGCAATCGCCAAGGGTACAGCTGCGCGGAGGTACTTACGTGGTATTTTCTTGAACGCTGTGTTGCACATGAACCGTTGGAACCTTTCAGCATAGAAGCTGGGTCTGTGCACAGATACAGTGTCCTAGAAAGTCCAAGGGACAAACATTAACGTGTGAACCTGAATTAACGAGCACCCAAGGCTAACAGAGCTTCTCTCAGGCTGTTAGCCTTGAAACACACGCTACGTTGGACTAGGAGCAGGCAGGGATTCTCACAGTTGCTCTCACTAGCAGCTGTGAGAAGCAGATTAGCTACAAACAGTAGGCGTTATATACAAAGCAATCAATACTCGTTAATGAGCAAGGAGATGATCAGCATTAACAAAACCAACATTTCTGAGAGTACCTAGAAAGTATTACTTTTATATAAGAGCATAAACACACACATGCCCTAGAAATCCAGGATCCTGTGCCCAGAAGGAGCAAGGACAGCCAGCACAGTTTAAAAAGACTCTGGTATTATTGCTAAACAAGTTAAAAAGTGATATTTTTCTACTTACCCCATCGTGTACAAGGGCCTTCCAAGAGTGCTCCAGCTTCTTGACGAATCTGACAAAGGAAAGCGTTACAAACAAGTTTCACACCAAGTCCCCGCTGCCTGTATCACATCACACTCGCTCAGCACCGAGCCTGGCTTCTGACCACAGTGGCAAACAAACCCCAAACGCGACTCCTTTGGCTTTAGGCTCTCCTCATCGTCCCGTTTTTCCAAGACTGTTCCACAGACACGGGGCTGATGGCACAGGTCACTCTCCCAGGGAGAGAGTTTCACATCAAGGGCAGTGGAATTGCAATGACATTTAACAGAGACTTTACATATGCAACCCTCTGCATATTGCATTTCAATATAAACAGGAGAAAAGGTAAGCCTTACAGCTATTTGTCGTTTTACAGGGAGAAGCGGTTATGGCCATTTTAAGCCACCACCTGTTTTTTCTCCTTGCCACTTCCTGCACCGTGCCTGTGTACAACCACCACAGCACACAAACAACTTCATAAGAGTAAATCTATTCCAGGAACATGAAGTAAATACAGTAAGCAAGACCCAGAAATTGATCCCAAAATAGCTGACTTCAAGAAAATAGAAAGTGGTAAATAAATTTTTAAAAAGTTAATTTCTGTCTTAACTATTTCTTGAAAGCCAATCTCGACAACCAAGCAGGGGCAGACAATGCTGGAAAGTGGTCTTCAGCCTCAGGCGATAAAAAGCTGTTATTCAACATTTCTTACCTGTAGGACTGCAACACATCGATGATGCCGATGTACAGCAGCAGCCTCTCCCCCTTCGCGTTGCGGGCTGGAATGCCTCCCATCCTAGAAAAGGACGGGGCGCAAACATGAAACAGGGTGTTCTCGCACCCCACCGCCTCTCTCACGCAGCCTAGCGTGGGCTGAATATTATGCGAACTATTTAACAAGCGCCGACATGCGGGAGGCACCTACTGTTCAGCTAGCAAACTGGGGAAGAGCAAAATGCTATTTCCGTAAGTTAGCTCAACCTCCTGAGAACTGCCCCCCTCTTCCCTCTGTATGACAGCTTAATCGAAGACCAGGATTAATCCCAAGCAACTGTAAAGACCATCTACTACCGCCCATACTAAGATGGCAGCTGGACTTTACGGGCCGTTAAGTCTGATCTAACAAAGCACTCACTGTGTCTCTTAGAGATGGATGGAAATAACTAGTTGGAGCTGCCAATAACCGGTGGGCAGAGAACTCTCAAATGCCACCTGGAAGGCAAGAAAATCTTTTGTGCGTTAAGGAAGTGAAATCAAATACAAAAGCACAAAATCTGACATCGAGACCTCTCTGCCCTGCGTGACAGCCATCCTGTATAGCCCAGTCTGCATCCAATTTAAGTCTCCATTAACCAAGCTTGGGTTTTACCCCTCACTCCTCCCAGCGTTTCACTGGGAACAGCAACACTGACACAGACTTACTGGTCATCCGTTTCTATGGTGCCACCTCGCCGGGCCTCTCCTTGGATGGATTCCATGGCTGTCGAGTAGAGGGCCTTCTGGGCAGCGGGTCGCCGCATATCGGTCTGGGACGTCCCGTCTGCCATCGCGTGCTCTCTCTGCGCCAGGTCGATGTTATGGATTGCAACGAGCAAACTGTAATCCATGATTTTAAAGCTCTGCAGGACCTGGGCAGAAAGTCAAAGGCTCACTCGTTACTGCAAGCTCAGGGAAAGTGTCAGAGCAGACATTTTCAGGAGCACACTCAGCATTTTTGCCTAGACCCGAGTGTATTGAGGGGATGGCTTTTAACCCACAGCTCGTGCACAGTCAGCTCATCTCCCGTCGCCAAAGGGAGTTAGAGGAAAGCTGTCGGTACTCCTCCTGCGCAGACGGGGACCCAAGCCTGGGAGAACACGGACTTCTGCACGGCCGCCCAAGGGCGGCTGACAACTTGGCCAGACTCAGCCAAGCATCCCGCCCCTCTCCCCGGGTCCCGCGCTGTTCCAGAGCTCAGCCTTGGCAGAGGGTGCTTCCTCCACCTCTAGAGGCAGTGCTGGGTTTAATTTAGGTTGGAAGTATTGAACGGAACTGGGGTCCAGGTCCTGCTTCTTCTCCACACCATCACCAAAAAAAGGGGTTCTTTAAGTCAACGCCCCAGGCAGAGGCTACAAGGGTGGCAGCTCCCATCTCCTTTTTGTGGGAAAGGCTCAGAAAAAGGAAATGACTCTCCATGACACCCTTCACCCTTCCACTTACCAAACAGTCTCTCTGTAACGTCTTGCACAGAGCGTTATACATGTCGGAGTCTAAGAAGAGGCCATCAGGGATGTCCTGCATGAAATCCAAGTCCTTGTATGTTGGGAAGACCTTCTCCCGCTCCTTCTGGGATGCTCGGCGTTTGTAGGTGGAGCCCTTCAGGTCATATTTCAGGTGCATTTTGACAGAGCGTGGCAGTAGGTTGTTCATCACGACAATACGAATGTTTTTGCCTCCGGCCTGGACACAGTACAAGCCGTAAAACTTTGGCAGCAGCGTCCTTGGGTTCTGGTTCAAATTCTGAAATGCCAAAGATAAAGAAATACCTTCCAAGCCATTCTGGTTATTCGCGTGCCAGGTAGAGGTGTTATTTGCTCCTTCCCGTGCTTCTATATTGAAATGGAGCTGGCAGCGATTCAAAGCCGTCGCCAAAGCAGCTAAGAGACAAGGGCAGGTGAACACAGGGAACAGATGGGCGATGTCGACAGTTGGTAACGACCTCTCTGATCGCGAGAAGGAAGGAAGGAGTTTGCCGCTCACTCACACAGAAGCTAAGCTGGGGAGGCTTCTGAGCACAGGCAGATCTCGTGCTTAGCCTTTTTAAATTTGGCGCTTAGGTCAAGCTAAATACATCAGGGTAGAGACGGATCTCAACTCTCACGGCTGCAGAAGGCACTAGACAGAATTTTGAAGAAAAACGATGTGGTTCTGGGATATAATCACAGCAAAAATATTTGTGGGTTCAGAAACAGTTCAAGGAATTCAGCTAGTGACCCTAACAGCATCAGAAGCCCTGAGGCACTCCTATATGGCAGGACTACCTCAGGGCTACGTTCCCTTTCACAGAGGTGGTTTGTACAGGCCAGGCCGGACATAAACACGAGCAGTCAGATGACACAGACATCGTGTTCAGGGTGGGATCCGATTTTGCTCCAGAACTGATAAAGCCTTTTTTGCTATAGCCACTCTCATAAACTTAATACGCCTTTACTTCCAAAGCTGCTGCTTCTATATATAGAAAGTTAAAATCAGAGTTCAACAGGATACTTTATCTTTGCAGACAGAACCAAGTATAGTCCCGGGAAGGGAAACACAAGTACAGCTTTGCAAGACAAAGTATCACGGGTGTGACGCTGTGCAGCAGGGAAGCAACAAACAGTTCCCAGCTGGTCACGAAGCAGCCTGCCATCTTCCAAAAGGGTTGAGTCAAAGCGCAGCCCGAGACCCCTGCGCAGCACGCCAGGCTCGCGATAGCCAGGTAGCTTGTGTTAGTCCCTAACCGTCTTTGTCACTGCTGCGAGAGAAGCTGCTGCTCAGCTGGGGCACAGATCAGACCTCTGCTCACATCTACCAGGCGGTACATTGCAGCATCTCGTCACACATTCGGGGGACCCTTCCCTAGCTCGCAGAGAAAGCCTCGCCCAAGCGACCTACCATGTAGTAGCCAGGCAGCAGCTTCTGTAAGAACTCAGCATCTTTGTGCTGAAC